ATATATATATATATATATATATATATATATCTATACGTCTATATATAAATATATATATATATAGACTATATATATATATAGATATCTATATATATATATATATATTTTATATATAGACGTGATAGATATATATATATATATATCTAATATATATATATATATAACTATATATAGATACTATTATATAGGTATATGATTAGGTATATAAATATATATCTATATAATATTTATATATAATGATATATATATATAGATAATAATATATATATATGTGTGTGTGGTGTGTGTGTGTGTGTGTGTGTGTGTAATGATATCTCTATATACAAACATATACACCCCACTGTGTGTATGTTATATGCATATATGAATATAGATATATTATATATATCTATATCCTCTGATTATATATTATATATAATATACATATTATAGGTTATATAGATATATAGATATTATATATATTAATAGAGATATATATACATTAGTATATATAATAGTATTATATATATTATATAATATATATAATAAATATTGCTGTGTGTGTGTGTGTGGTGTGTGTGTGTGTGTGTGTGGGTGTGCATATATACTTATATAAATAATAATATACACACACACACACCACACACAACACAACAAACAATATATATATACACACACAGTGTTGTATGTATATATGCATATAGATGAATAGATATAGATATATATATGATATATATATTATCTATATAATATATTATAGATATATTATAATATATATGCAATTATATGTATCTATCTATATAATAGCTATATATATATATATAATATATATATAGATATATATATATATATATATATATATATGCATATATATATGTATATAATAATTATATCTATATATATATATATATATATATATATAATATATATTATATCATATACATATATATATAATATACACTTAGTAATATATATAGATATAAATATATATATATATTATATTGCTGTGTGTGTGTGTGTGTGTGGTGGTGTGTGGGTGCATATTACTGATATAAATAAATATTATACAAACACACACACACACAAACCCACCACACACACACACCACACGCACCCACACACACACACACACACACACAAAACACAAACACACACCATATACATATATATATATAAATATATATATATATTATATATAGATATATATATAATAATATAATAAACATATATATATATAGATAATATATATATGATATATATATATATATATATATATAGATTTACTAATTATATATATATATGTGTGTGTGTGTGTGTGTGTCTGTGTGTGTGGGTGTATGTGTGTGTGTGTGTTGTGTGTATATAGATATATATATAGATCTATTATATATATAATATCTATATAATAATATATATATATATATTATATATGTGTATAATATATAGATATAATTTATTATATATAATTTATATATCTATATAAATATATATATATTATATATAATAATATTATATTATATGTTATGATAATATATATATATATGTAATGCAATATAATACATAACACACAGTGTGTGTATATGTAATACTATATATATATATATATATATTATATATATATATATATATATATAAGAAAACTATAAATGATATATATATATATAGGATATATATATATATATATATATAATCTAATGGTATATCTAATAGATATATAGATTAGCTATATATAAGGATCTATATTAATATATATATATATATAATATATATACATAATATATATATTGATATATTATATCGAACCTAATATCTATATAATAATATATATATTATATATATTATATATTTATAGAATAATAATATATAATATATAGGTATGGTATAGATAAATATATATATATATATATATATATATATATAATATATATATATATAGATATAAATACATAATATCCATATATAGATATATATATATCTATATAATAATATAATATATATATATATATTATATATTATATATGTATAGA